AAGAGAGGTCTCCCCAAGGTACATATACACCAAGTATCAAAGCATTCAGGCTTGTAGTTTTCAAGAAGAAGTCGAAAAAGTAAAACATTGACACGGACAACGACGCCGGACATGATAAGCTCCGCTCGACAAAGTCAACAGCAAAGCTAAAAAAACTATCAAATGAAATATCAAGCCAAATTATACTCCCTAGCATAGAATTCTGTTCTGTACCAGGAAGTGGTAATGATTTTCTATACATATTGTATGACTACCCTAATTTTCAATTTTATTTGAACAGAACACCCCCAACCAATATTGGTATGACCCAGTGTTATATAACAACTTGTTAAGTCAAATCAGCAACAGGAATTAGAAAACTGCTCCAGATTTTGTTTTATATCAAATTCATAATTTTTTATTTTTGCAGCAAAATGTCAATCTTGGTAGATACGCTAGTCAGATTAGCATAATGGATGACATCACCACCACCTTTGACTTGTAATCATCCTATCAATGATGCAAGTCAAAATGTTTTACTGCCAATAGTGCCATCATTCACTTAAATGTATCTTGCAGAGTGACAATGTCATCATCAGGAAAGTCCTCTTTTAGAAGAATTCCCCTATCACGATGGATATCAAGCTCTTCAATAAAACCAAACCAATATATTACCATGCCAGGACCAAATCTGAAAAAATAAAAACAAATATCATGCAATTTTATTGTAAATTTGAAAGACACGGAAAAGTAATAATGGGACACGAAAAAATGAGTTTTAGGAATTTTAGTTTGCATTGATACCTGTATGTAGACTTCTAGGATGAAATGACACCATTTGACATGAAAGCTGGCTAAAGTTTATGAATAAAACAAGGAAACATCCGTTATATACTGTTCCTGCTTCCCCTACAGTTAATACTCAAATATCATAGATACTAAACACTGTTGAGTATGCAATATCCATAGAGCTCAGGGTGGGACACACTGGTTGAAGCACCCCTTGCATGCCGCACACACACACACATATACGCACCCACCCACACAGTACTGTCTGTTAACAAGGTGGGCTGACAACCACACATCAATGACTGACAGACATGTGAAAATACAGTGGGAATGCAGATCAGCGTTAAACTGTCTAAATTTAGCAAGATGCACGCTGACAGGAACAGATTTTCCAACGTACCAGTATTATACATCAAAGAATGAAAGAAGCCTATTGACATCAGGCAAAAATTTGATGAGTTGTAAGGTAAACAAACCAATATTGAGTTTCTATATATTTAACTTTTTGACAAAATGGTTGGTTTATTAACAGTGTGATAAATTTGTCATAATAATAGAGAAAGACAAATCATTTCTGCACACACAAAGTACAGGTAACGTTATATTTTACAACACAGCATGTATCAGCATGTTTACTATACGTAAAGTTTAATACTGACAAATGTGCTAGCAAGTACACTTGGTTTAGGTGATAAGCTTTTATAGAGGCCTGTACTCTTTAATCAGTAACAACTAATATGCCCGCAGCTTGTATGCTGATATGAGGAGAAACAAACTAGCAAATTATTTGAAACCATGTGGGAAAGTTTAACAAACAATGTTGTCTAAATATTTCACTAGCTGCAACCTTTTTAACTTAGTATCGCTGTACCATTTGGCTGATCCATTAGTATTTTATGTTTGGGTTTACAACATTTAAAACAAGGTGACAAGGTTAATGGAACATTCACAATTTACTTACTTTTATCTTTCCATTAAATAGAATGAATAATACTGGGACGAACAAAAAAAAAATAATATCATATTTAAACCTTCGCAACTACAGCAATAATTCAAAAAAAAAAAGTATGAAACATCACAGAAAGTACAGGTAATACTGTAGAGAATTTTGATCTACGAATGGTGTCCATCCGGGATGTCAGTTATGCACATGTACTTAGAACAGTGAGGGTAGGAAGAGATATATTTAAGTGTTCTAATCAGTTGGGTGGGCCAGGATATAGGTTACAACTGCCTAAAATAAAACACCATATAATCCTTCTAATCCATAATCCTGTTTCATTTCTAACGGTGATCCCTGTAAAAACATCACTCATGATAACACAATGCATTGTTATTTTTATTGCAAAGTTATTGTGATAACATCACAGTCGTATATAATAAAAGTACAAAACTATAACTGAAATTATATGTAAATATAGAATGCCAAACCCACAAATCTGATAGCAATTTGACTTTTCCATAAAACCCTAATATAAAATCAAACCAAGGATTAAAAAAACAAAACAACCGCACACAATCTGTGTATGTAATATATAGAAAATGATAGCCGTTAATTGTACGTTGGTAATTATATTGATCAATTATACCAAGGACTATTTTTACCTATTACCATTTTCTATGTACCGTATTTGCTCTATTAGAAGCACATCTCCAATAACAGTTCATATAAACCAAAAATTCACATTTGCTGTATACAAATCATTAAAATATTACCTATTTTGATCATAGAAACACCTTTGTAATTTAAAGTGTATGTGCTCCTGAAAGAGAAAATACGGTATTTATCTTTTTTTACAGCTTCCATCACTCCGTGTATATAGAACGACAGATGAGAAATGAATCAAAAAAGTTTTACACATACCATACAACATGAGGATATCAATGCAAAATGAAGAAGAATTATAAATTTGATTCTATATACCCATCTGTTCATTACTCAATTTTGAGAAATCACATTGTCTTAATTGACAAACACAATTGAGTTAACAACAGAGACACTCACTAACTGACCGCAAATAATTCCCCATCAGTCAAATGTACCACAACTCCCCTTCCGTCAACAATCTCCAATGTAGTTGTATTGTTCAGCTGAACACTTTGTTATATTTATAGAAAACTATAGTAAATAAAATGGTACATGACTAGTGCATATTTTCAAATTTCATCATAAATATTTCTTCATTCGATTAATGATCAGACTACACTACGGAGAATGACAATTTTAAAAAGGCGCATCTATGGACATCCAGTGGACTGGGAAAGCATTTGATTTTAATGTTTCTCATTTTAATACAGTAGGATCGATTTATTTAGGTTTTATATTGACATCAATATCCAAAATTGTAAGCACATGGCATTATGAAAAATGAGCATTAAAAAAAAAGGAAAACAGCACAAATATAACAATTTTACACATATTGGTTTTAATAGCACATAAAGCTGTGGCGCCGATTCAGTAACATTTGGTAAACACAACAATTGATACCTGGAACAGATACGCTGTTTTATCTACAACAGAAAACAATCTGACATCTGCCAAACAATGGCCACCTTGCCCTCTGCCTAATTTTTTAAAAGTTCTAAAAAGGAACACATCGCATCTGCACACATGTGTGCCGCTTATCTGCTACTGAGACCATCAATCTTCTATGCAAATTAGAGTAATGTAACATAATGTATATTTCTAGTGGAGTGAAATGAGATTCAGACAGCGATTTCAAAGCTTTCTACATCATCCCAGCATATGCAGCACCCCCACTCTAGATGTGACCTTTTTGGGAGGAACAAACTTGTTCCAATTTCAAATAGAAAAATCTCTAATTACCGATGTTATTGATTTTGTTTTAATTTGATTTGTCAATATTTGTATTACTCCATGATGAGTGATATGACAGTAACTTCAGACTATGAATATATATGAGAAAACTGACAGGTAGCCTTCAACATTTACATTTGTCTTCTCTCATATACTGGTAAAAAAAATGAATTTCCTCTATGATTTGTAATTACAACAACAAGACATAAAACTGTTCCGATGATAATAACTTGTAATTGGTCTTGGTTTTCCCACCAATATAGATATACATTGAATATATATCTCTGCATCCCAGTGTTGTGAATATTGGGGACCTTTCTACAATGCTGGTGTTATCATCCATTTGTTGCCTAAAAGGAGCAGATTATCTATGTTCATAAGAGTACTTGCAAGATTAACTGGGTTATAACAGCTGGTGGTTACTCCATGGTAATATTTGGTGCTATATATCAGGTCTTGTTAGTACATGCAGCCACAGAAATGCAAATACTAATAAATTAATGTCATTGTGAAATGTAGAACACGCATCCATTTTGAAGATAATCTGGTATATCAATCTAACAGTTTATCTTGTTAATAATAATTTTGAAAATTGCTAGCCCTAGAATTGGTTCCTAATCTTCTATATGCCTCAGGGTTACAGCTAATTCCAAGGCGCGATGTTACACGACATGGTGTCACATGACTGGTCACATTT